TTTTATTTATTCAATTATTATATTTTTACTTGTAGGTTATTTCACTATCATTTCATTTCAGGTTTATTGTTGCTTAATATAATTGTTATTTTCAACTATTCTTTTTTAATTATTCTTTTTTACTTGTTTCAGGGATTTCAAATCATTTTATATAATAGACAATGGAAGTCCGAACTAGTGAAAATAAATAACATATACATGAAATCACAAAAGTAAAATCACTAAAAGTAAGTGATAACATAAACTGAAAAGAGACATGTAAATAATAACAAACGTTCAGGATATAAGAACATGGTCAATAAAATTAAATAAATCAATTTAAACCAAATTGAATAAAATCAAATCAATAAAATACCGTAGATATTACAGTTAGTCTTCTCAATTAAAATTATCATCGTAGAACTCTGCTAAGCTAAGGTCTCACAGAAAACAAATCTCACAACTCTTTCTTAAGAGCTCTAACGTCATTTATGGTTCTTATAGCTTGAGGAAGGTGATTGAACATTTTGAGACCGTTGTAAATAATGGAATCTTTAACTAGAGTCGAAGAAGGCAGCGGTAATTTAAAGCTGAATCTTTGCCTGGTTTGATACATTGGCGCGTCCAAGTTGTTAAACAATACCCTATTTTTGAAGAGAAGGCAGATTGTCTCATATATAAATAAGGAGACCACAGTTAGGATTCTGTTAGAGGCAAAAAGAGGCCTACAAGAGTCCCTAGGCTTGGCTTTGCATATGCATCGTATTGCACGTTTTTATATTACCAATACTGATTGAAGGCATGTGGTAGAACACACACCCCAAAAGCAAATACCATAACGAAGATGGAATTCAAAAAGGGAATGATAAACCATTCTAGCTTCTGCAGATCCGAGCTCAAATGCAGTAACTCGTATTACATAACATCCAGAGGAGAGCTATGATTTCAAAGTATCTACATGTTTGTTGAATTTTAAATTATTTTCAATGAACAAGCCAAGGAATTTAGAAGTTGGTACGTTGTCAATTTAAATATTATTTGGATGTACGGCTGGATAGGACACTACTTTTGTTTTTGATAAATTCAAGCTCAAGTGATTTGAGTCAAACCAGTTCTTCACTCTCGTGATGTCATTCTCAATAACTTCATACAACGTATGGTTGTTAGGAGCATGCCATGAAATTGTAGTATCATCAGCAAATAAAGTAAAATTTCCTTGGATGTTTATAGAAGATAGGTCATTAATGTAAATCAAGAATAAAAGTAGGCCCAGTACCGAACCTTGTGGGACGCCGCAAGTAATTTTACCTTCATTTGAGTATGAAGTGGTTTTGACCATCTGGGTGAGATCTGCTGAGTATGACTTAAACCACTTGAGACTTATTCCAGTTATACCATATCTACCGAGTTTCCGTGAAATAATTTTATGATTCACGCAATCAAATGCTTTGGCTATATCATAGAAGACCGCAGCCACTGTTTCTTTGTCATTTATATTGGAATAAACATTGTAAAGCAATGAAAATATGGCATCGGAAGTGTTTTTTTGCTTTTGGAAACCAAATTGGCAATCACTTATTATTTTCTTTTCATTCAGAAAGCAAAGAAGTCTTGTTTTGACTGATTTATCTATCAATTTAGCCATTGCAGAGATTAGAGAAATTGGACAAAGACTTGATGGACCATTGATGACTTCTTCCTTTGGCAGTGCTAACACAATCGACTTCTTCAAAAAAAAAACTAGAAAGATTCCTTCTCTAAATGAATTATTTATTAGACTAACTAATATATCGAGTATTCTTATCGGAATATTTTCTAGGATTTTTATAGAGATTTCATCTGAGCCTGTGAAGTTTTTATTTTTAATGGAAAATAATGTTTCATGCAGTTCGGTAATATTTGTATCATATAATATAAAGGTGTTCATTTTTCGATATTCACATAGTCTAAGGCAGGGGTCTCCAAACTTTGAAGCCTTCGGGTCATAATGATTTTTTCAGTTTGTTCCAAGGGCCAATTTCTGCCCTTAACTATATTTCTAGACTAGGATAGTCGCAAAGTGCATGACCTAAGCAAACTTACGCTTTTTTGCATTTCAATTATTATTGTGTATTGTGACACTTAACGACATCTAGTGGCGAGTTGTGGTACTATGTACTATCTTTTTCAGCTACCTGCTAGGTGGCATTAGGCGTAATTAAATATTTGGAATTACCGCGTTGGTTCGAGAAAGTTCTGGTTCTAGCTAGTGTATTCCGATCACCTCGAGATAGCAGTAATAATTGCATATAAAAAGGCTAGCGTCACAACTGCGAGTTAGTCTGCGTAGGAAAGGCGAAGGAAGCGAAACTGTCTATTGTGAAATGAAGTAACACCCGTCAATAAAAGTATTTTGATTTGACTTATTGTTTTTATGTGTGATTTGTTAGTATGGAAAAGAAGCGAAAAATTGACAGTGAATGCAGAACGTTCCAAGAAAAATGGAACTTTCAGTATTTTGTGATTGAGTCCAGTAATAAGGCGCTATGTTTAATTTGTAATGAAACCAAAGCTGTTCTCAAAGATTATAACATTAAACGACACTATGAATCGAAACATCTTCAAAGTTACTCCAAGTATACACTAAATAAACTTAGATACTCAAGTTAAGTTTTCTTTGTCATCATTTCTGTCGTCAAGTTTTACCTTGCAAGTAAATAAAACCGAGTAATTATCATTCTGTGTTTTCTTCTTCAACTTATCACATCAATAGTAACAACAATTAGGTAATCATTGGCTGTCGCGGGCCAGATTGATGACAATAAATCATTGGCTGTCGTGGGCCGGATTTGGCCCGCGGGCCATAGTTTGGAGACCCCTGGTCTAAGGGGTCACTGGCTGCTTTTATATTTTTCGTCAAGTCCTCCGCATTAGAGCAACAGAAGTCATTGAGTTCAGTAGGAGAAAACGGAATATCTACAAATTTTTTTTGTCACGTGTGAAGAAAAGTGGATCTTCTACGACAACAGATGTTCAAGAGAAACCATCCAAAAATCAAACAAATTGAGCGTCGAAATTCTGCATCAACCACCATACTTCCCAGACCTCCCGCCAACCGACTACCATCCTTTCAACCACTCCAATAACTTTCTCACCGGTATAACATCCGCCAATCAGGACCAGGCAAAAACGGCCTTCGTCGACTTCATCGAATCTCGACCAGACAATTTTTATGCTGATGGAATGAATTGATTTGTGAAACGTTGGCAAAAGCGCACTTATTCAAATGGCGCTTATTTCGTTCAAATTTAATAAATATTCACCGAGATATTGAAGTTCAAAGTAGACTCATAAAAATGGATAAAAATTTTGAAACAATATCTTGCAATAAATTTCATCTTATTGTTAGGAATTTCAAGAATGAAATGATGTGTTTTTGAGGTAAGTTAGAGTTTCAAATCGTGATGAGGCGTAAACTGTAGGTGAGGTTAGGTTATGTTTTTCTCCATTAAATTGTCACATGCTACCATAAATTCTTGCCAATCACATTTAAATTTTCAGCACTCAGGAGCCTGCATTTCATAAGCATCTACATGAGCTTCCTTAAGTAATTTTGGATTGCCATTGAATGGGAGAAATTAGCTCAAAGAAACGAAGAAGAAGTTACTTACCTATTGCCGTTGGCACTGCAGGATACATGATCTCCCTATCTCTGGACCGCCTCCCACTTTTGTCGACATACGCTGCCAGGCTGCCAAACACCAGTAAGTATTCGTTCCTGGGTAGTTCAATGACCCGCAATGCTTCGACAGCGCTGCACATTATCGTACTGTACAGGGGGTTGTCGGGATGCAAAAGGGCTACAAAGAAAAAAAAACAGATTATCGGAGCGGCACTTTCTTCTCCAACAAGTCTTACAAAAAAGTTGGTGATCCACGTGCTGTATGCTATAGACGGTGAAACAGGATGGCGACCCGACGCACAATCGCCCGTCTGAGAGCAATTGCAACGACTGGACGTGGACAGGTAGGCTGATTTCGCGTACACGTTGATGCCTCATTTTGGTCCTGGTGATTTCGTAGATGATGATGCTCGACGAATTTTGCTGAAATCAAAGCAATCAGTACGAAAAACTAGACAACCTAATATATTGTATGAAAAATTTTGTGCACTTGATTTCACTGGTAACATGCCCTAATGGTTTACTGACTATTTAATTGGTGATTTTCAGTCAGTTCGAGTGCATAAAACAGCTTCCAACCCTATACATGTGAAATGAGGAATGAATACCACAAATAATCTATTGTGGACCACTTCTGTGGTCATCAATGATATCAACATACAGAGTGGTCCAACGAAAAGTATGCACCTTGCTTTTCTCCTTTTTTGTAACTTAACGCAAAAATGCTGGGACAGATCAATTTTGCTTTTGAGGGGGACACATTTTAGATGTATTTTTCTACCTGTGCCTTCAACCCCCTAGCGAGGATGAGTAACAACCCTAAAATTTTAAATGGAAAGTGGGGTCGAGTGATATATCATTTGAAAGGGCACAAAATTCTCTTTCCAATGATACCTAATTTGTTGTATTTCACTCAAACATGTAGGTATTATGAAGNAAGAGAATTTTGTGCACTTTCAAATGATATATCACTCGACCCCACTTTCCATTTAAAATTTTAGGGTTGTTACTCACCCTCGCTAGGGGGTTGAAGGCACAGGCAGAAAAACACATCTCAAATGTGTCCCCCTCTAAAGCAAAATTGACCTGTCCGAGCATTTTTGCGTAAGTTACAAAAAAAGAAAAAAAGCAAGATGCATACTTTTCGTTTGACCACTCGGTATAGGTATTTCTGTACATTATAAAAACATTTTTCAAAAAATTAGTGATTATGGTATGATACATTGGCTGTGAATGTGGAAATTTTTTTCTCACAAAATTGACACATATGAACAAATACATTATTGGAGCTTTTACTAGAAAAAGTTCGTAGGCTAATACACAGATGGCGCTACTAGTATTGAATTAATATGGTTTTTACTTAACCCTAACCTTCAGAAGAAGTTCGTAGGCCAATACAGAGATGGCGCTACTAGTATTGAATTAATATGGTTTTTGGTAAAACCCTAACCTTCAAAAGACACGTGTACAAATTTAACAGCTATCTGACTATTAGTTTGTGGGATAGAATATTTTGAGTGAAGCATTATTTGCTAGTTTGAAGAAAATGGATAAGAAGGAATTTCGTGTGTTGATAACGCATTGCTTTTTGGCAAAAAAAAACTGTTGAAGCCAAGGCTTGGCTTGATAAACATTATTCGGATTTTGCACCAGGAAAATCAACCGTTGAGAAGTGGTTTACTCAGTTTGAACGAGGTAAAATGAGCACCGTGCACCATGCACGCAGAGGATACCCCAAAGAGGCTGTTACCGACGAAGAGATCAAAAAAGTCCACAAAATAATTTTCGATGACCACAAAGTATATATATTATTATTCTTTATTAGCAAATAATGCTCTTCATAGTACAGCCAGTCACTTATAAAATACAAAACAATAAAAAAAATATATATATATATAAAATTAGAGACAAGTCACATTTTAAAAACA